ATATTGTATGATTATATTACTTATAACACCGCACCGTCTCAGTTAGCTTGTCACGAGTGAAATGTTGGAGGATCGAAGTGTTACATGCATTTGGTGTTGCGCCGAGAAATGTTAATTCTCACCAGACCTAGTGTTGCACTCATATCGTTCGGTGCAACACTAGTTCAGAGTCAGTGCGAACCGACCGAATTCACTATTAGTTTTGCTTCAACTTTCTTGACAACGATGATACAGATAGGCGACATGTGGCGTTGAAAGCCACATATCTCTATTTTTTATTGTTATGAAATTGTACAAAAATGTAAAACATGTTCGTTGAATTGTGTCTATAGAACTAATCTTATCGCTTTGTCGCTCACTTATACGCTCATATCCTTGAATTAATTCCAACTGTTCCAAGAACTGCAACATGATAAAAACTTTTCTTTTCAGTTTGATAAACTTTAACTTTTAGCATTGGTACTAAGCATTGATAGGTTGGGTGTATATCAGTTGGACACGGGCCAATTGGACACAGTCCAATCACAAGCCGCTGTTCCAAGGGACCCTACAAATGTCTCTAATCACACGGTGCTGTGTTTGGCTGTGTCCAAATGCACCGTGTCCAAGTGCACCGCTCCCTGATAGGTTAATTAATAGACACATTGTATATATAATAATCAAAGCATGATGTCTATATGATGTAAATATGCTACATCTAAAAAAAGAAACAATTTTATAGACACGATGTAAACTTTACATAAAGTTGTTCTATATTGAGTAAGAAAACTAATTACCAAAATATGTCTGCATTTGCCAGTAAACTGAATGACACTGTTTTGAGTAAAAATGTAGAATTTTTTCGTTTTTCTATTTCATCATTATATGTTGTACATATGACTAACATGTGATAGGCTCATAAAGGATACAACTTTTATGCATTGCGTGATTCTACGCAACGTAAAGTTCCTGCAAAATTTACATACATCTGCCTATCTGGGTGTCCAACAAAGATAAAGCTATCAATGCAAAATTAGCACCGAAGTATATGGGACGGTTAAGCGAATCATCTCACCAGTAATCGTAGACCTAATCGACGAAAACAAAAAATGGCACAAACATATACATATACACGATCTGAAACCAAACAACAACGAATAGACAACAAACAAAAATGATTCGTTTCCCTCGCCAATCAAACAGATCTAAAAGGAATTAGGATATTAAAAGAGTAAGCCAGGCTCAGTAAGAACACTGTGACAAGAGCGAACGAACCGGCAAGTCCAGAAACAAAAATGAAATTCAACCAGGAACTTAAGAGATGGCTCGAAAACTGGGAGCCGCCGAAAGAAACGTTACCCGAGCGACGGGAACATTACCCGAGTCGGTTTTGGTCCGACACATTAAGGGCAAAAACGCAAAGCAAACAAACAAGCAAAGCACAGATGGAGCACCGAAACAACGAGGATATAAGAGAGACGAGACCGCAACTCGAGAGAACAGTCTACAAACATAGACGTAGACAAAATAATCGACAATCTATTGACAACGTGGAACGAAGCAGAGGCCCAGGCCCTATGGGATTCGCTGATCCTGTCGGAGGACACGGCCCACAACCACAGAGAACAGGACCAAATAACAGCCAAAAAACTACCACCGGTAAAACGACCACCATCGGATAAGCAAACCATCAAGCCTAAAAGAAAACCGGCCAACGCGTGCCTGAAAACACCACCAACAGCAAGGATAGCACAGAAAAAACTGCAAGCGCTAATAAATCAGGAACAGCAACCAACAAGGAAACAGCGACTGCACATCAGGCCTTTTCCAGGAAACACACAACAAGCACCGAATGGAACACCGGCAACGAGTAAAACACAACCACGCCAGGCACCACCAACATTGGGCAACAGCATACATGGAAAACCGGACCAGGCCCAGGCACGACCAAAAATAAAAGTCGTCGCGGACGAACCTGTAACATACAAAATAATCATAAAAACCCGCGACCCGCGAAGCACGAACGACAACACAACGTACAGAATACCGATCACCGGAGAGAGAACGGTCGACGTGCCGTATTATGCGACACACAAGACACAGAAATAACGATGGTACGTAGACGGGGAATTATGGAAATTTAAATTTACAAAATCGGGGGAACTGAAAATAGCATACAGAGCAAAATAAGTGAAACAGGAAATAGGATTAAGATTAGGATGTAAGAATAAATAAGAAGTTAGTTAAATAACATGGTGAAGGGTAAAACATATAAATAAATAGAATTAAGTATACGCGAACATAAAGATAAGTAGAGATAAGTATGAGTGCCCGAGACAGGCACTACGAAGGAGGGGG